GAGACGTCAAACGTACAAACTTTCAGCCTCGTTCCCAGGGAGAAGGTAGACCTTGGAAACGAGGCTGAAGACTCAAATGTTAGTTGAAAGAGCCAATACAATATTATAGAAAAAAAAGTTATGGATTTCAGCAAGAACTGATTGAAGCACCAGTTCTGAGATAATTGAGGGAGACTTACATGCAGTGATTGTGGGGCTAAATGAAATAGCTCGTACTTCTTGTTTCTATAATTTTAAGAATAAAAAAATGAGATAAATATTAACTGTATGACTAAGTATTTAAGATTAAACGTTTCAGGTTGGGTTTGATGGTCATGATTATGTATGGTTTGGTGAACTGCCTGGCCTAAGTACGAGGTATCTCATTTACAAGTCTTGGACAGTGAGGTTGGGGACATGAATAAATCGATGATTAGTAACTCGTGAACTAATGCCACTGCTCTTTTACAGCATTGAATGACATGTTCAACTTGTTAAGTATCCAGAACTCATTGTCCAAGGTTACAGTCCCGTCAGTCTAATGTTGACATTCTCAGCTGGGCTTTTCTGTGAGGTCGATTGTGGCCTCGCTGTCATGCGGTCATTTGATCATTTTGACCGTCATTCCCGGATGTTAATAATACATAAATAAGACTAAGTAAAACTTAGGATAAAAAGATTTAATTTGTTCAGGTTGTAAGAAATAATAAAGACACATGATTTCTCGTATTTTTATGGCGTTTTTGGCTTAGCTACCTTACGTCATCAGCCGCCTCTTGTTAGCCTCTTTGTCACAACGACATAAGCACAAGCACGAACGTAAGCGTTACGGTAGCGAGGATGCATACAACACAATCATAAGTATAAAGGCATGCGCAGAATGGATAGTTGCCTTATTTTAGCCTCCAACCTCCTCAAAACAGTAAAAAAGATGGCAGACTGACTCTTATGTTTATGCTTACAGCAGCGCGTTCCCACTTGACATATGTAAAAGCACAACAAGAATCAATACTTTGTTCTGCTTGTGCTTATGATTGTGTTGTGGGTGTCCTCACTACTGTTATCCTTATGCTTGTGCTTACCGTTGTTGTGAAAACCAGGCTCAAGGTGACCACCATTGCCACGTTGCGCGGGAAATAGTATCCCGTATCAAGTATCCCGTGCTGCGCTCGTGCGTTTCCCGCCATATCGAATTGCATTGAGGTGCAGCCGAGGCGCTGCATCCAAGATGGCAACCAGGCCGAAAATCACATGGCACTTACGTTGCGCGATTGGTATGCCACCATTTTTGAAAGCAAAGTAGAGCGACTTTTAAGCGACATAACAAAATTTTTGGTTTGGGAAAGCGACATATCGGCTAGCGATGCGGTGCGCGCAGAATGCAAGGCAGTATTGGTCCCGGCGAGTATGTGCCTAATGTGGTATAGTGAAATGATTCTAGGCGGAGCTAGAAAATTGACCGATGAAACAGTAGAGTATGTTTGAAGTTTAAGAACACATTAATTTGAACGTTTCCCCAACACCTCCCTACAAATATCAACTGGCCATGAGAGATTTTATTTTATTGTGTTTGTCTTTCGTTGTTCATCAATACCAGCTGACGCGTTAACACGATTGTTCAATATTTTCTTCGCTCTTTTCTCGCTTAAATTTATCATTTTATAAAAGAAATAAAATTCAGGACACCAAAAGGCGATCGTTGATCACAGTTACAAGGTTTTCAGATAAGAAAATGACTGATGAATTATTGCTCGGACCAAACAAATTAATTTTTAATGAGTATATCAGGGATTTCCCTTTTATGGGTTAGTTGCAAGGCGTGTTTCCACTAGTTCTGCTCTTTAGAACTTAACTTTTCTAGTCATACGAGATGCAGTCACTTATTTTTGACTCCTTGACGTAATATGTGGTAATATATCAAACACGAAATACCGCGTTTGACCACTTTCCAAACACGACGCGCAGCGGAATATTTAATTTATGAAGAACCTCGAGGTGTTTGGAATTTTGGTCAAACACGGTATTTCTTTTTGGTATATCTTCTCAATCGAAACTAAAATTCAAGGAGAAAATGGAGAAAAAAGATAGTAAAAATCTATGCTAATTAAGATAAGATATCCAAACACCGTGACGGTCTTGATTTGCATTGTTTGAACTTGATGACATATTAATGAGTTTGAAAAAAACATGTCCCAAAATTTGTGGTGTTATGTAAATTTATTATAACTTATACGTTTATGTTGATTAACTCAATCCACCAGGGATTGAACTGTAAGAGTTTTGTGCTAATTCCGAACCCAGATCTCCCACTTTACAGCGTCAAACACAGTGCGATCTGAGTACGACTCACTGTCCTCTATATTCTGAATATTATTTTACTGATAAAAAATTCAAGCAGGATAGCTACATTATCTAAACAGAAAATTGTATAGAGTTTGCATTTTTACGAGAACTGCCGACAGGCACCATAAGCAAATTTACGATCAGAAGTTATCCGATACTGTTACTAATCCTTTGGCCGCCAGTTGTTAGCGTTTACAGTCTTCACAGAGTGGTTTTGAGATTACAAAGTGAAATCTAAAATACATCATCGTAAAGTTCTGAAAGTAAACTTTCTCTAACCCGTTTCAAATATTGAATAAAGTGTGACTCAACCTGGGCTAACCTGAGCCCTAAGTCCTTTTGGTAAATATAAAAAAACTAATAAAAAACGGAACAGATCTATAATATATCAGAGTGTATTTTAAATATAAAAATAAATACCCTATAAATTCAATCTTCTACGTGACATAAATAGTGGTTATTTTTATAGTATATCAGGACTATACCTCTTAAACTTACTTAGCATAGTTCAATGTTTTTTGGCAAGGTCTTTTTCGCGGCCAGCGCCTCGTAGTGTGGCATACACTCTTCTACAACAGCTGCTACTTCAGGCGGCAGATCTTCCACGTCAAACGCCGTGCAGGCTCGGGACCTGTTCTTCTTCACTCTTGGTTTGAATCCTGAACTCTTCAGGGCATCCTCGTGCCACCCAGCCCAGGTGTCCCACTCCGGTACAGGACCCGGCTCCCACGAAGTCATGTTCTCTTCATACTCCAGACCCACTGCTTCACAGTAACTCTGCAGGATTTCGTTTGGATAATCCAGAAGATCGTCTGCATCGACGACAACGGGATTTCTGTGGATATTTCTGTCGACGAACTCGTACAATTCCAACATCTGGCGAAATCCCGCTTCCGCGGGATCGAAGTAATCCCATCCCGTAAGCTTCGGATTCGTGGAGGCCTTGAAGAGCGAGTAAACTGCTTTTAGAGGATGGCGGATCAGGAAGGAGTGCTGAAAGTTTTTAAAACCCTCTTCAGTGAAAATATGCATCTTGTTTTCCACGCAGTAAGCCATCTCCTTTGAGAACAAGAAATCTCTGCCATCGTACTCTTTTTGAAGCATTTTGCTAATGGAACGGTATGTAGCTTGATGATTGGTCTCTTGTGAGGCGTATCTTGGACTTTGCTTCTCTGGGCCAAAGTAGTACGCTTTTGAGTACGGTTCGTGAAAGATTTTCGAGTTCTTGAGAGTCATGATCGATCTCTCAAACGCCGTCGAGACGCAACGGGGAGCCGTCCATAGAATTATTCTATTTTTTGACATCTTGTAAAAGGCTGTGTCAGCGCTGAATAGTACGAACGAATTTGATATAACTTCTTCAGATACTTATTTTCCCGCTTGTCTGTGCGATAAGCTTGTTCCAGCTGACCACCAAGGGTTCTTCTGTGTACGATTCACTCTTTTGATATTAGCTTTCCTTGTGTCCAGAAGTCTGCTTTACTATCAATGGATCTCAAATGGGTCTGGGCGTTGATTCAATCCCGCGGTTTTTATAGCCTGTGACCCGCTGCTCGCAGTGTGTCAAAGGTGCGAAGTATGCTCCCCACGCACTGCCAACTTGAACGTACTCCAGAGAAACAGGTGTACGCTTAGGAAAGCAATTTCCTTCCTTTCACGAAGAAAAAACTGAATGCAACAATTCGCGAAACAATCACATCGGGAAAATCAAAGTGCAGTCCAAAAACCCAATTGAAAGACACACTTTCAGTTTAAGAATCGAGCTACTAAGAATAAATGATGTACTTGAAAGTTTAATGAGAAACCAAAGCTTCTTTTTGCAATTTAAACTGGCTTTGTTTATCCAGTGGATCGCGGGATTAAAAGATCATTTATAGCGGTTTTTATCAAGCTTAGTGGCTATTTGAACATCTGTGTTCTGGCCACAAAAGAAGCCATGTTAAGTTCTGTGACGTCACTTGTTAAAATCCACCCGAGTAATAATTTCTTGCGGGGCGATTTGCGCGCACGAGCTGCTCGCGATTTTTAATCCAAAAATTACAATGAAGCATACATTTGTCGGAAATACTATTCAATGCTAGTCAAGAAAAAAAGAAAGTTTTAAAGCTATGTTTAGAAACATAATTATCAAGAGAAGCGATAACATTTTTAACGCGGTTTTAGATCAACTGACCGTGAAAATTTGACCATGTGATAAGAAATCAAATTGTGCCTCAGAAAATGACGTATATAAATAACTAAAGGATTTAAGCTCATTAATAATTCGTCATGACTGTGACGGGTGTTTGGCATGGATATCAGATCTTAATTAGCATAGATTTTTACGATTCCATTTCTCTGTTTTCTCCTTGGTTTTAGTATCGAACACTCAACACTGTGTTTGACCACATTACCAAACACCACGAATTTCGTCAAAAATTCTCCACTACGCGTCTTATTTTTCACTGTCTTCTCGCTGTTTGGAAATGTGGTCAAACACGGTCTTGTGTGTTTGATCTATTACTTGAAATACTTCTCTGCTTCCTTCTCAGAGTTTTTGACAATTCGCTCACTGTCAAAGTATCAAGATTGTGCCTCTGCGATCAGGCTATATGAAAAAACCTCTTTTTTACCTCTTTTTATGGCATTAAATTATTCCAAATTGAATGAGAAAAACTGTAATATATAGATTTAGGCCAGCCTAAAAGCGTAGCTCCTGGACCGGGTTGTTCAGAGCCCGACAAAGCTAACCCAGGATATATAACGTAGAATTTNAAGCGAATAAGAATGTCTTAAGACCAGCGCCACTGCATCCAACTAATATGTTATCATTAATTGTAGATTATTACGTATCTGTCTTCTTAGTGGACTCTCTTCTACTAGTTTTAACACCTGTTTGGAAATTTTCTTTTCTTTCCAGTCTCTTCATGGTTTATTTTCGTCGTGGGGACATTAAAAGATGCAAACTGAGATAATCGGTCTAATAACATTTAAGATAACACCTGCCACAACACTATGTAGTAACTGGCATCATCTGATGATCGGCGGAGAACTGACTGCAGTGAAAGCACTGTCTATTCATTGATAGGCGGTAATTTCGAAGAACGGTAGAGCGAATTACTGGAATCATAGCTCGGATATGCGTTGGCTAAGGCTTCCTAACCTTGCAATTCTAACTTATCTTCATTGATCATTTTTGCACGAATCCGAAGAGCTTGAACTCTTTGATTTGACCTCATTCTCGTCTCCGAGCGAGGGCTCCGAGGACGAGAATGATTTGTCTTGACACGTCAATCATGTCGCGGTCGACCAATCACCAGGTAGATCAAACTGCGGCGACAATTGCTTTTTGAGTTCATCTAACTTCGGTTTATTTATCCCCCATCTGATTGGTTTCCCTCGTAACACAATTACAGTTCGCAACTTGTTTATACCAGCTAGTGTTTGCGCCTTTCTCTGATTCGCATTGCTAAAGGTTGAGGGATGAGTCAAAAATTTCTTTTTATTGGTTGCGAACCTGGGAGGGCAGTTTAAAACCGTTTGTTATAGTCAACCCTCTTACTAAGGACAATGGTCGTTTGTTTGGGAACAATATTTGATAAAGAGATATGCACCATATATATTTTCTCGCGCTTGGCGCTGGTTTACCAGTTCGATTTCCGATTGGTCCCAGCCAATACTTTGATTTTACCAATGTAATGACATCCACAGTCATTGGGTAAACACTAAGAAAAGCTCTTTTGATACCTTTTCCATATTTGACTTGAAAAGTTTTCGCAGCAAACCAGTTAGAATTTAATTCGTCGTGTGAAATGTCTTCTCGACTGTGTTTATGTATTGATCGAGAGAAAACCGGCGTTTGACCCATTTTCTTGTGCTATAAATCACTGCAGTTGTTTCACGGTAGAGGAACAGACGCAGCGCATTCATAATGTCCCTCGGCATCGAAGCTTCCTCTTTTGGAAAGGTGAATCGTGTCCAGGTGATACTCGCCAAAGCTGAAGTCTTCAAACAACTACAAAAGAAGATTTGTAAAAAAAGACTGTGAATTAAGAGGAATATTGATCCTGGAAAAAACCAAGGGTAGAAACCACGAAATACGCCATGAGTCGTCTTTGCTATAACACACAAAAATCACAACAACAAAAAAACTGCCCGGATGAAAGGGCACTGCCAAGTCTCTATTTCGTCTGAATTTTGTAAACATTTTGTTCAGCTCCTATTTGACAGAATTCCAGCAACATTTTTGAGGTCGCCATTTCGAGATACTCCATCCCACATTTTTCTCAATGCTTGTTGTTTCTTTTCTGTTTCTAGGGTCTGGTTTCTAGGCTTCCAACTCGTATCCGACTTGGCTAACAGCACGAAAATTTTATAGCGAAGAAGATACATGTAATGAATTGATGACATCTCATGAAAATCTAAATGGCTCACCGTAATGATTTTTTTAGCGTCAAATGATATCCTCTTTTTAAATCTGGGTGGTACATCACTCCTGCTCTTTTTGGCTGGTGCTTGCTCGTCAGGATTGTCACGCTGTTTGGTGTTCATTACAGTCGCATGTAGCTTGACTCGGTCATATTCTCGTTTCATTAAACCTTTAGATACGAATTTATCGACCAGGGCATCAGCAAGATTTTGTAGCCTGGTGAATATTGAACAATCAAAAACACCCTTAGTAACTACCTTTAAAGTTTCAGTAGGGTCAGTGTCAAACACAACTTTAATTTTTTTTTACTGATGTCCATCCCTGACTGCAATCAGTTTAGCACCTGTAGTATGATTTTGATACCACTCAGGGGAGTAAGAAGGTTAGAAGTTATTCCCCAGAGCCTCGTACTGAGGTCTATTGTTTTAGGCTGAATTTTAATATATCAAAATTGGTCTATTGTAATCACAAAGAGATTCGAAAGACACTTCTCAAACTCATCATTAAATCATCAAAGAAAATCACAACCATGAAGGAGGTTTGGATACCCGGTCTTAATTAGCATAGATTTTGGAGATTTTACTTCTCTGTTTACTCCTTAGTTTTTGTTTTGATTGAGACGATATATCTCGAGACAGTGTTTCATCGGCTATCCAAACGCCTCAAATTTCATTAAAAATACTCCGCTGCGCATCTCATTTTCAACTCTCTCCTCGGTGTTTGGATATCCTGATGAAACTCTGTCTCTCGTGTTTGATATATTACTTCAAAGGCTGGTTGTGGCTAAAGGAAGGATATTTACTCTTTTGCATGGGGTTCGTCAAAATCATGTTGGAGTTAAAATTACGTAACTCTGGGAATAAGGGTGTTTTGAAGAATTACAATGTTGCTATGACGACCTTTCATTTGATAAAGATGACCATGCGGCCACTTGACAAAAGTGTGGGCATTTGTTTGGTATCAACTTAATATTATTATATACATGTAGGGTGATGGTATAATCTCATCAAAGAACAGGTGTTTTAAACAGTTAGACCAAGATTACTCCAGAAGGAGTCGCACCAGTCTAAAGGTGGGGAAGGAATATTGAACAACAAAGTCTGGAATAGGAGTTACACCTAACATCATAAGCTTGCAATGGATTATGAATGCAAATAGTTGCAACTACTAAGCTCTCTGCCTTCAATAGTGAATCCATGACCCTTAAGTACTTGGTCTGGGGTGATGATGGACTACAGCATATACATGTATTATCAGCACCCATCTCCTATCCTCATTAACCATGGCAACATCTCATAGTTTTTACCTGTTGGAACCATCTTTGATGAGCACCTTTGCATACAAAACATCAACCTCGGCTGGATCGTCATTCATGTACTCCACACCCTTGAGTTCAACAACTACTGCAGTATCTTGCAGGCAATTGCTAAAGAACACACAGTATGTACATTAGTAACAGTGACTTTCACCCTGGAGCTGAAACATGTTTAGATGTCTGTTTTAATCTTGTAGGAACAGATTTTTAAGAATATTTTTGTTGAACAGATTTTAGGTTTTTGCTTTTGTATTTTTTTTTT